GCGGGCGGTATTATCTAAGTTGCGATTAATTTAACCAACAATTATAGACACTATTATTTTTAAACTTCTTAGAATATTTACTAATTAATATTATAATATATATTTATGTATGTATGCATGCATCCATGAATCCATATATAAAATCTTAGTCAAAAGAAAATATTATCAATATCTAAATCTTAACTATTTTGATTAAAAATATACACATTTCCAAATTTAGCATAATAAATAGTTTAACTATAATTCAAATAAAATCCTAGTTAGTTTTTTAGTTAGTTCATATAATTAACTAATTGTCAATTTCCTTAGCCAAATAATGAAGTCATGATTATATTTATTAAATAGTTTATTCTTAGCTACTTTGACCAATGAACGAATTATTGCTGATGTTAATTAAATGCTACTAAAATCTAAATGATCTGAATTAAAATTTAATGAATCTCTAATTCATATAATAATAGTTGATTATTATTTTGTTGATTGACTATACTCGGTTGTTTTCTTTAGATTAAATTAAACAATAATAAAATTAATTATATAATTAAAACTATAATTAATCTATACTTTTATCTAGTAAATAATCAATAAGAAGTTAAGTACTATTTAATTAACTTCTAAAGCAATTGTTTCTCTTACTAATTGTTAAGTGTTTATAAAATATAGTGATCCTTGTTACGTTACTAGTCAATTTTATTAATATATAATTTCCATTAAAACTTCTAATTAGTTTGATTAGTCAAAACAAAGATTTTTTTCAAAGCAAAATTATTAAAGGTCCCTTATAGGTGTTTTCATAATTTCAGGAAACATCCCATTTAGTTTTAAGAAATGAGAAATCAATGTATCGTTGCCAAACATTTTATATTTTATACTTAAATACTTGTTTTTGAAAATATGAAAGGAAAAATAGGTAATTGGAGTTTGTTCAAAAAAGGCTTTATGTTTATGTTGCTGATATCTTTTTCAATTGTTCCTATCTCAATTGATCTAATTTTTATTTAAAATTTATTGAGTTTTTTAGGCTGCATTTTTTATAGTCGTCCTACACTTGTCTTCTATATGTTTTATGCGCTTAATGGACTTCTTTAACACTCTAGGGATATCAAAGCCTACAAGAAGAAAATTAAGAAGGCTCAAGGAAAGAAGAACAAGGAATTGGTTGAACGACTACTTGATCGCCAACCAACTTACAAGCTTGATAGATTGGTATTAGAAAGGTTTGTGTTTTCTATAAATTTACATTGTTTAGTTATAGGAAAATTTACATAGGAAGTACCAATTCTTATGCATTTACCTTTCTCACACGTAACTTTGATTTTTACAAACTAAGCACCTTTTCCTATGTTTGAAAAGATGTATTAAAAGGTGGATTACACGTTTCCTATAGGTAGGGTGCTTGGCTTGTAAAAATTAAAGTTTGGGTGTGATATAAGTAAATGCATAAGAATTGGGTGCTTCCTATGTAAAAACCCCCTTAATTATTTTAAAAAGTGATTATGCTTATGTTTAAGTACAAATGTTCTAGGTATCCTACTTTTGTTGATGCTCTTCGAGATCTTGATGATTGCCTCACTATGGTGCATCTTTTTGCCGCGTTACCTGCGATTGAGAATGAGCACATTCAAGTTGATCGCATTCATAATTGTCGAAGGTTTGTACCTTTTTTTAATTTTTTAACTGATAAGTTTCATGAAGTTCATAACTTGTCTAGTTTTGTAGCTTTAGCTTCTGAAAAGCACAGCATTACGAGGATTGCTTTTATTTATTTTTTAAATATTCTCTCTCCTATCTCTTTGAGTTAATTTTAAAAAGTATAAAGCTTAAAAGTCTCACTTTGTTTTATTTGTTTCTATTATTTTTTTGTTGCTTTATAGAATTTTTAACTCTTCTATATTCTTGTATTATGATAATCTATTTCCAAAGAAATTGATTTTTCTTTGCATTTTAGAAATTGTTTTGTCACTTTCTCCTAATGAATGCAAGATGCAGCCTCCAGCTTATAAGCATATGATTCAGCGGTGTAATCTGACTTTTTGGGGGAAAATGTCACAAATTTGAGACCAGTTTGTGACCATTAAGTTAAATATTTACCAGCTATTTCATGAAAATTGACATGTAATTAATATTAAGCCATACTTTCAGATTAATATAGTTCTTAGGACAACTTTCTATGCTTTAAAAAATTCACATGATTAGATGGAGCTATCACAAGAAAAAGGGGGAATACAATAACGTTTATTTTTATTTTGTTATTTTACTCGTTGCTTCATGTGAGGCTGTGAGATAGATATATCTTTTTTAGCAGCATGTCGGAAAAAGAGGGTTTAGTTGAAGCTTTTTGTTTTAGTTTCACTGTCTATTGCTAGTCATTCAAACAATGATAGACAATTAGTATAGCTACTTAAGAAGTCATCAATTTGCAATGCACAAATGAAGTAGAAAGTGAGAAACAGTTTTTACATTTACTCATAGAATTGCTAATTTGCAACATACATGAAATGCAATGCTATACACACTTCAATTGAGTTGTGCGCAAGTTTATAACTGTTGTGCTCTTTTTTTTTGTCAATGCATTGAAGCAAAAAAAGACTTGTAAACCGATGAAAAATTAATAATTCGACAAAAAGTGCTATTTTGAGGAAACAAACTAATGACAAGTTGGAGAAACAAACCCTTTTGAAGGATGTATGAAGATTATTATGAAATATTCTATAGATTGATTAAATATCATTAATGATTATCTTTGTATAATATGCATATAATAAAAGTAGAGTCTGGAGCCAGTTGAGGTTGTTTTATAAGATTGTAGGATATGAAAGATGTTGGAGTTATAAGTCCTTCCCTAAATGCCAGTGGGCACCAAATATTTTCTGAAGAGGAGCAAGTATCATTCTTTAAGAACTATGAAAATGTTCAGTAGTATGATAATTATAATAGAATTAAGCTTCTTGGTTATATAATATAGTCATAATGGAGGATATTGAAACATATGATTAAAAAAATCATGTTATTTGAGAATCAATTTGCTATACAATTTTAATGAATGCAAAAGTAATGAAATTGGTCATTGTTGTTTGAAAATGAACCCATTTCATTGTATGCATTAATTCATATGAGATATATTTAAAATGACATAACTTGATTTGCTTTTTGCAAATGATATAATTCTTGTATGTGTGACTTTTGAAGTATATAAAAACTAAAACTTTGGAGAAACTTTTTATAGGATAAGGAACATAGGATTTGAATAAGATTGGGCACAAAATGTGCAATTCCAATGGACATAAGATTAATAATCATCAATCAATGTCATTGGAAGTTATAAATATACCCTTCTATGGTAGGTTTTGAAACATTTGATCTATATTATAATACTATAACTTTTAGATTCTAGGCCACATGGTCGTAATGAACAATTATACTAGAAGTTCTATGCCGTATAAGATATAGGAAGACATAAATATTAAAGTTATAATGCTATCATTAGACAATATAAAATATGTATATAATGTTGGACAGGAAAGAATTCATTGACAATGAAGTTGAGTGTGGTACAAATAAGAATGCTAAGATGATAATTGTAATGAGAAGAAAAATGATTTTCTTTAGTGGCGAGTGAGTTAACACCTATTATACATAAGATTGCATTAAATTGGCTTTATTGGTTTGGAATGCATATAAATATGCAAAGATGCACCGCTAAGGCTTATGAAGAATTAATGCGAAATGATTAGGAAGATAAATAGTAGTGATGCAAATCTAAAAGTCTGTACATTGGATGTGCAAGTCATGTGCATTTGCATTGATTTAGTTACAATTTTTTTATAATTTTTTCATTTTCTTTAGTTTTTTAATTAGATGCAAAATCCTTACGATGTTGACTTCTATAAGAATGAGATGTGTTTGCAGGCATTTGATGTTGTCATTCTGATTTTTTTTTTTTTTTTTGGGTTAAGGCATTTCGATTTTAGCTCTCTGACTACTTAGTTTGACTTGGCCTAATTTCTTGTTTTAGAATATGGTTGCTTTGGTTTGGTTTGGTTAACTTTATGCTGGTTTATCTTCTTCCACTAATATATTGTTCACTCAATCAATGGAATTCTATTCTTTGTGGTGTATTATTTGTTTGCTGATTGTTGTTCATATACCCACGCTTTCATATTAAGTATAGCGATTGATAATTGTGACTGATAATTGTGACTGTAATGTAGTTTGATTTTTGGACGTGGTACTATAATTTTTTTTGAATGGTTATTTCCTTCATTTTTTTTTTATTTTTTCGCCATTGCATGAATGTTGAATTGTGTTACTTGCTAGAAATGGATTTTAAAGTTGGAAATTTATCAATTGCTCAAATTAAGGTTAGGAGCTTGCTGATCTTGCTGGTATATAATTGAAACTTGCTATGTTAAGTTCAATCTTTGCTGATTTTAAGATTTTTTTTTTTTTGCATTTTTTGAGTTATAAATAGGCAAGTCATGCTTCAAATTTTTTTCTTAGACTCCTATAAAATATAAGATTTCAGTCTATATGCCTTTTCATTAAAACATTTGCGGAAGCTATTTTTTTGCAATCACATGGATTTTGTCTGCAAAAAAAATAAAAAATGCGACTCTTAAAGTGCTTAAGTGGCATTGGAACAATGATTGAATTGTCTCTCACTTTAATCATATTAGTCGCCTTATATTTTTTTAAAATTTAAATCTACTTATACTCTTGAATCATTTGTTGAGAAAAAGGCGATATTAATCTTAGAGACTTAATCTTGTTGTGATAAGAATGGATGAGAATATTAACATCTCTTTATCTAAAAAACTGAAATGAGTTTAGGTTAGCATTCATGGTTAGCCATTTTTTTTATGGCATTGGTCTACCGTTGAGCTCATTTTATGCCCATTTGGGATACTCATTTGTGTGGATAAGCACATTGTCTCTAAATAATCTCTCTGGGAAGTAGGGGTGTAAACGAGGCGAACACGAGCAAGCCTTTATATTTTGTGTTCGGCTCGTTTGCTTAGCGAGCCGACACGAGCCGTTCACGAACAAATAATTGTTTTGACAACCCTAATCACTTAGTCATAAGATGTTAAGGGTTGAGATAAGATTTAAAATATCATTTGAATCTAATTTAATAATTTTTATTCTATTTTATTACTTAATACTTTTAATTGATTATAAATCTTTGTAGCCTTGTAGTCAATTAAATATAATTGATTAGTAGTATTTCGAGCCAAAACGAGTTGAACACGAACGGACAAATATTCTTTCGTGTTGTTCGTGTTCGACTCGTTAACTTAGCGAACGAGCCGAACAAGAGCTTCTTAACGAGCCGAACACGACCTGTTCACGAACAACGAGTCATTTTGACAACCCTATTAGGAAGCCTTAATTGTTTTGTATGTTGATTGCTTTTTGATTGTTTTTCTTACATTCCCAGTCAATTCGTGGTGCGCTCTCAAGGAATTCTCTCGTATGTCATATAGTAATCTCAAGAATTCATCTTCTTTGAGCAGTCTTTGTTCTCCTCCACTTTAATTTTCTTGTTCTTTTTTCATGGTTATGGTTTCTTAAAAACCTGAAATTCAAGTTGCCTATTTTGTAGATTTTACGTCCAGTTCTCCTCAAGTTATGGGCTTTAGTTCAATTATATTCACTTGCCTTAAATGTCCTCTCTAATTCTAATTCAAAGCTGACTATATTATTTTATTGGGCCATAATTTTAATGCTTTTGGTGGTTCAAAGCACCTTCCTAATTGAAATCCTCTGTATGACAAACTTGCTCGGCCGTGCAGTCGCCCTTTGGTTTTTAATTTGGTTATGTTAGATCAATGTTGCGTTTTATGATTTTTTATTTGATTTTTGGGTCCCCGGAGAATTAGGACACAATATTTTTCTGAAATGAACTTCTTTAATTCAATTTAAGTTTTGCGGCGTTTATTGGCTTCTTTATTTAAAGCCTCCATTCTTCATTTGAATTTTTTTAAAGATTTCCCAACCCAAAACTGTCAAACATTATGTAAGAATGAACCCGTACTTGCTCTTGCCCTACAGTTTAGCTAATTCTTGTGGAATTTCTAAATTGGATGATTTTTTTTTTCTTGTTTGGTTGCTTAATTTTATTTTCCTAGATCAATTTTTTAATTAGCTTAAATTATTTTTATGAATATTGGAACTTAGAATTTTCATTGCTTAGGATCCAGGTCAAAAGGACTTTGGTTAAAGAGGGGATTAATAGATATTATATGTGTTAAAAACCGAAATTTATCAGTACTCTTACAAAATTTTTAGATCTATCATAGGCAATTATATTAGTAATTGGCTTTTCTTAAACATTTTGACAATTTTTGTGGTATTCTCTATGCTAAAAAAAACTTGATTTTTGGATGCGCTTCATTACACGATTTGTGCTTCCTTTATTTTACCAAAAAACCTGAAAATTTGATTTGTTCTCACTATATTGTATGCTTCATCTACAGAGAATGTTACAATTTTTTTTCCAGAAATCCGGACGGTCTTCTTGCTAGATTATGGCAACTTCTAATGATACTCTTTCCTTGGATGAAAGCTCTGCTATTTGCTCCAAACAGTCTTTTAGACTTTTATTTTTTTTTTTACTGTCAAATTTCCTAATTTTATTGAGTTGAGTGTGTCTTGGAGATCATTTACATGATCTGATAATAGAAATGAAGTATTTACAAAATTGGATCATTTTCTTCTGCCCCTTTGTATGATGTTTTTTTTTTCAAGTGATGGGGGACAAAAGGCTATTAAGGAAAACTTTTTCAGGTCTTTGTGTTCTTTATTTCTAATCTCATTATAGTTACTAAATTTCATGTTTTAAGGTTTGAAAAGTATTAGTTTAGCTTTGATGACTTAAAAGAAATGATCACTAGACGGAGGAAAAGTAATTCTGCTTTTTGATGCATCTTAAATATTGGAAAACATCACCACATCATCAAGCTTAAAGTGAAAGAACTCATTGGACATAGACTTAATCAAATTGAAATCAAAGTTCAATCAGGTTTAGGATCTTTTCAAGACCAGCAAGAGTATGGAAATGTTAGAAAATCAGATTGCAACAAACTTAAAGAAGAAATTTGTTTTGGCATAAAAGATCCAAAGTGATGTGGTTTATTTAAGGTGATTTTAGCACTTATTCTTACAAAATAGCCAATGATAGTAGAAAAATAAATTTTATCAACCATATTCAAGTTGGTTGGGATTTTATTTTGGATCAAAAGGTTCTGCTGTGAATTACTAGTTGATTGTTTTAAGCTTTATTCTTTTGATGATCCTTTTATTTCTAATATTTTGGGTTCCTCTTTTGTTTTACTACCTTTAGTTGTGTCGCTAAAAAACTTATAAGTCGGATGGTTCAAGAAGTTTTTGTTAGAAGGTATGGGACAATAATAATAATGATCTGAGGGCATATTTGTGGTCATGGGCTCGCTAACAAGCTCATCTTCTAATATAATTTTTCTTTTTTCCTGAGAAAGACGTGGGAATCCTATATATTTACCAAAGTTTTAGCAAATTGACACATAGTGAATGTTGATTTTCTGATTGGTCATTCTCCGGGTGTCTTTGTTGATTACTTTATTGTGGCCAACTTAATCTTCCATTTGACAATTGAGAAAAATATTGATTTCTTTTTTTTCTAAGATGGATTTTGCAAAGGCTTTGTGATTTTGTAATTGGAATTTTATTATGAATATTTTTAATTTCAAATTTTCTCTTCCAACTTCATTTATAGGGTCAAGGAGGCTTTAGTACATTTTAACTTGTAACTCCTTGCTAATTAAGAACTTAATAAATGATTTAACTGTTGCTAAGGCATGTGAAAGATGATCCTCTGTCTCCTCTTAATTTTATTATTATTGGTGGTGCACTTCATAAGATTTTTCGTGCTAATACCAATGATGGTTGGATTGATGGCAACAAATGTGAGAAAATATAATGTTTTTGTCAACTTTATTCAATTTACTGATGATACCCTCTTTTGCAAAGCTGATTTTGCTCAAGTTTTAGTTCTTAGACATTCATCTCCACCATTTTTTTGATTTTATGGTCTCAAAATTGACTTTTTTTATTTTTTTTATTTATCGTGGTGGTTATCATAATAAAGGATTATCATCTCTAATGATTTTGGTTGTCTCATGAAAAACATGTAAAATAGTTAGGTGGGGTCTAAAGCTATGTAAAAAGACCTTTGGATTCCTATTATTGATAAAATCCAGAGCAAGCTGGCACCTTGGAATAATAAATTCCTATCTAAAGATCGGAGGATTGCCAGCTTCTATTCATTTGAACTGATTATTTTTTTTGGATTCTAAATTGGGTCAACAAAATTGATGGTATAAAATACTTTTTTTGTAAAAGAAAAATGACGGAGGAAGAAGTTTCTTATTCCTTATCAATCGCATGAGAGGATATATGCAATAAAATTGATGGTATAAAATACTTTTTTTGTAAAAGAAAAATGACGGAGGAAGAAGTTTCTTATTCCTTATCGATCGCATGGGAGGATATATCACTCTTAGTAATATATGGTCTGGTATACAAGGATTTGTTCTCTATCTTCGACATTCAAGATCAGTTGCATTTAAGGGGGCATATTAAGGAGAAACCCGCATGGATTTCGATTGTAGCATGACTTGGTTATTCATTAATATAATTTAATCAGGTGAAAGTTGGATTCATTTGTCAGTCAATTTTGGTAGTTTAGAGCATCATTCATGGCACTACTCAATTCTGACTTGGTTTCATACTACATTTCCTACCCATACATTTTTTCAAGTAGGAGAATGAAAAGCAAATGTAATTAGGGCTGTAAACGAGCCGAGCTTGAACGAGCTCAGGCTTGGCTCGTGTTCGACTCGTTTGAAATAGCTCGTGTTCGAAATCAGCTCGTGTTCGAAATCGGCTCGTGAACAGTGTGTTCGTGTTCGACTCGATTTAAATATTCGTGTTCGTGTTCGACTCGTGTTCGACTCGTGTTCGGCTCGAAATTGACTCGTTAAACTTAAATTGAGAAAAATAGATGTAAAGTATGAGATTCGAACCTGGATCAAATATATACAAAAGAAGACTCTAACCGCATTGTCAAATGAGGTGTTATGATTTAACCTTAGACATAAATATATATAATATATTATTATATAAGTAATATATGTAATATATTGTTATATAAAAACTTATATAATTTTTTTATTTCGAGCTAAAATGAGCCGAACATGAGCGAGCAAAGAATTGTTCGTGTTCGGCTCGTATACAACGAGCCGAACACGAGCTTAACGAGCCGAACACGAGCTGTTCGCGAACAACGAGCTTTCTTGACAGCCCTAAATGTAATCAATCGTCAAGCTGTCAGAAGTCACATAGAATCAAGATTGAAACAATGGAAAGTAGTAGGTATGGAACCATCCTATTGATTGATTCACATTCGCCTAAACGACTTTCACTACACAAATTTGTTAAGAACACAACCAAGAAAGAAAGACTATGGATGTGGTCTATATCGACATTAGTCATAGAAAAAGACCAGCCAAGTGCCTAGATCTCTAATCTTTTGCTATAATTGATGTATAAATTTATAATCGCTTTTAGATCTTTTATAAAATTTTGGATTTGGCTGCATTTTAATTATAGTTTGGAACGAATGAAAGATTTATTTATTTATTTTTATTTCGCACAGAGATTAATATTTACCTAAATTAGAAGTTGGAAAACAACGAATTGTGGTTTTGTGAGTGTGTTTAATGCACCTCATCCCAGCTTTGTAATAATAACTCTTTAGGCTTTTGAATGTCCTACATCAAGAAGACCACACATAAACATCACTTAAAGAATTGTAAGCACTAATGCAAAATAATGTGACCCCTCCTGCCGCATAAACAAATAAAAAGAAAGACGAGAAAATATTGTTAAAAGAAACCTAGATGATTGGGGTAAAGCTAATGATGGTGATGCCATGGTTTGGTATCAAACCTAGTTATGTGACACTTCCAAACCTTGTCTTTTGGTCCTAAGAATGATGTATTCACATTTAACTTTGTATGCAATGCATTTGATATAGTTTTTTCTTTGACTCCATGAATTTCCTTTTAACACCCCTTTCCCTGTAATTCATTTAATTAAAACATGTAACCTTATGTTATTCATGTGTTTTAATTTGTTTTTATATTAATCATGTTTAAATGCTCATTAATCAGGTGGAGTATACATAAGTTCTGTGAGTATTACAAAATGTTTTCTGTGGTGCAGTATGTGAATTATACTTTTTCCAATATTGTTAAAACTATATTTTCCATCAGGAACCAATTTATATATGGAAATTATGGCTTTTCAACAACGTTGGGATTGTATGCCAAAAATATTAAACACTGAATGTCTCAGCTTTAGTGATTCTGATTGCTTGAAATGCTTCATCTAGCCTTGGATATCAAGGATTTTGCTAGCTCTAAGGGTTTTCCATTTTTGAAGCTATATTGATACTCTGTTTCTATGATTAGTTATCTAAATTTTGCATATGTAAGAAAATCCTTTGATTTTGCCATTTATGCAAAAGTTTCTGTAGTCTAGTTTGAGTTCTACCATGCATAAAGAACATGAACTTTGAGTATTTGAAGGCATCAGCTGTCAACTCATTGTGGTTGAATGATAACTTTTGTGTTTTTGCCCATTCTTCCGTCCCAGCTGTACAATTTGTGCTATGATCTGTCTTTGTCATGTTGTAACCAGGTTAAGCCATGAGTGGCAAGCATACATTTCTAGAACTCACTGTTTACGAAAGACTTTTATTTCAGTCAAAGGCATATATTACCAGGTAAATCACTTGTGGCTTTATGCTAAATGCTATATTCTTAGTGTTACATTTTCATGCCGTTTTTTTAAGTTTGAGATAATTCCTTCATTTTATTTTAACAGGCAGAGGTTGAAGGGCAAAAAATCACATGGTTGACTCCACATGCTTTGCAGCAGGTTTTGACTGATGATGTTGACTTTAATGTGATGCTTACATTTTTAGAGTTCTATGAGGTAATTAAGTTCAATCATTCTATTTATACTCTTTATGAATAATTCAGCTTGGAATATGCGATGTTCAGGATTTTGTATGACTCTCTTGCAAAATATGTTATTCAAGTTGTTATATGGTGGCTACACTGAATATTTCTTTTAGTTCATTCATTATGAATTCGAAACTCATTATAAAGTGCATGCTAATTCTGCTTTAATTGATATTTAGAATTTTCATAAATTAATAGAAATGTTGGTTCAAGCTACTATATATGTGACTCTTCATCACCATCAGTTTTATCCCGACTATTTTTGGTTGGCATTATGAATCCTACAACTTTACTGTTGTCACAAGTTTTAGTTTGCTACTATATTTTTTTCATGATCTAAAATTATGATAATTGTGCTATTATTTACATGGCCAACAATTCTCTATTTCACAAAAGAATAAAGTGCATTTAGATTGTGTGTCATTTTATTTGGGATTTTGTATAATCAAAGAAGTTCAGTTCGCATGTTTCTAGCTCAAAATTATTGCTACTATATTCACCAAGTCTTTGAGTATACTTCAGTTTGAGTAAGTTAATGTATATGCTTAAGCTTGAAGGGGAGGTTGGCATATGAATTATCATTTTAAGAAGCTTTTCTAAATATATTTTTTGGAAACATTTTTAAATACAGTGAGTGGAGTATATGCTTATATTGTTTACCTTGGCCTCTTGTATCCTCTATTTTATATATAGAGTGGTCCTCCATTGAATGATATATAACAAATTGTTTTCTTTCTAAGAAGGGTAATGGAACTTATGCATTGGGAAGCACATTGATTTATTCTTGCAAGATAGTCCATGGAGGCAATTTTCATGTCAAAGCAATGAATAGATAAGTAATCTAAATATGATTTTTATTGATCTTAAAAGGACATTTTTTAATTTCTTGTTGACTTATTTGGTGGGCATTAAGCAAAGATATGCATGCTATTATTAATTAGCAATAAAATTTGTTGAGTAACTAAAAGTGTATACACTCGTAGTTGAATTAACATCAATCATGAGTAAAAAAATAGGTCTTTGTTCTCTAAATTTGTTACGAGGATTTACATTGGAGAATGAAATTGATGCACATATTATTTGTTACTTGCATATTTCTAATGGTTTTTCTTTTTGTTGAATTAGGTGGAAATTTTGAAGTGGAGAAATGTTTATTGAGTATGGAATTTGCAATTATTAATAACTATTTGCTAGGTCTGGTGATACTTAAAAATTGATAGGTGGGTACCTTGGATCTATAGACAAATTACAAAGGGATGATTATATAAAGGATAATATAACTCTAGATTTATTGTTGGTGGTTAAAGCTGAGTAGTGTTATAGGCATACTATGCAATTAGGATATATTGGGGAGATATAAGGAATCTTCAAGAATCTCATCATTCATTCATTTCTACAAAGTTTTGAATTTATCTTGCATAAAACTTTTTGCTCGGCTTTTATCATTGTTATTTTTGGTTTTCCAATTTTTCTCTCTAATCCTTCAGCATTAAAATTATTTACTCATCATATTCATAAAGCTTCGAACATCCAGTTTGAATGTCGAATAATGACTACTACCACCTTACTTTTCTCTCCAGATTTATTGTTGGTGGTTAAAGCTGAGTAGTGTTATAGGCATACTATGCAATTAGGATATATTGGGGAGATGTAAGGAATTCCATCTCCCCAATATAAATTTTATAAAGTTGTAATTAGTTAAGTTGATCCAAGAAGTCATTGGTAGCTAAGTGTGGTGAGAACAATTAGATTTATATGCATTCGAAGTGATAGATTAATGAGCCATCATGTAAGGGGGATTAAAGGAGAGAAAATTAAGGTGGTCGAAGTAGTCATTATTCGACATGCAGACTGGATGTTCGAAGCTTTATGAATGTGATGAGTAAATAATTTTAATGCGGAAGGATTAGAGAGAAAAATTGGAAAACCAAAAATAACAATGATAAAAGCCGAGCAAAAAGTTTTATGCAAGATAAATTAAAAACTTTGTAGAAATGAATGAATGATGAGATTCATGAAGCTGCCCTTAAATACTTGTGGTATGTCTTATGATATTGGTTATGATCGAGTCTAGTTCGTTTTTCTTGCGAATTCTGTAGAGAGCTTTGAATCTATTATTAAAGCGACTCTCTTGTCTAGTTTGATTTATTTTGTGTGAGTCAATTTTTCTTAGGTTAGATTGTGGCTTTTTGATTGGTATTGGTTTAACTTGTATCTCTACATTATGAGTTTTCCCAAAGTACTAACTGTTGGTTTGTATTATCTTTATTTAAACAATTACTCCCAACAACACATTGTTCATTATCATTCTACATAATTTTTTGGCATATTATACTTAGTATATATTTTGGCATATAGTCAAATAGGGTGTTCTATTCAAAAGTTTCAAAATGCCACGACCCAACTTGAGAGTTTAGAATAATAAGGCGGGAATAGATGATTAGATGGAAGAAAAACTATCTACGCAGTTTAATTTCTTAAATAAAATGATCTAAAACATAAAAGAGTCATTTTGTTTAACTTTTATAACTGAATGAAAAGCAAAAACAAAAATGTTATGCCTATCTCTCTGAGCTCGTCGGTGTTCATACACATCTCTAAGACCAATTCACTTTTAATCAGATTTTTCTGAAAAATCTTAGCAACTGAATGTGTGGGTTAAACTACTCAATGAGTAAAATATCTCTAAATTATAATAATTATTATTTTAAAAATATATTTGTAAAAGACAATAAATAGTAAAAATGTGATATTAAAGAAATTATAACCTTCAAGAAAGAAATTATTTTTTTTGTTACTTTTATTCGTTTCAATTACAATATTCGTCAATGATAGTGTATACTAAAAATATACCTTTTACTTTTAATGAAAACCCACTAAAAAGTTACAAACCATTTCTATTTTTATTTTATGTGCACAACCAGTACTATCCGAGGTTGCTTCCACATTTGCATGCATATATCATATTTATTTATTTTTTATTTAACATTTGAAAAACATGACATTTGCATATTTAAAAGAAAATGTTAAAAGTAGAAAAAAAGTTGATTTCATAAATAAAAATCATTATTGTAAATTAAACATGTTTATCTACATATTCAGTAGAGTCGATCACCCCTTTCCTAGGTCAAACTAGTTCTTTGGTGCATCTATAATAACACATTAGACTTAATTCACTTTTAGTATTTTTTTTCCTTCTTTCACATGAATTCTAACATAAATTCACCTAAATTCTTGGACATCTTTGTTTGTATTTTATCTAATTAAGTCGTTATTTGTTGTTTCATATAAGTATTTTACTAGTAATTCATTCTTAATATTAAACTATTTTATTAACTTATTTTAATTTATACAATAACATATGATTATTCAAATAAATGCATTTTAGGTAGGTTTCTTAAAATATCTTTTAGTATTTTGAGTTAGAAATTGATTGATATAGTTTTAAACTTAGGGTTCTTAAGCTTTTAATTTAGCTTAACACTAAACAATATTGAAACATTGAAATTCATCTTCATTCTTGAAATTCTTCTCATCCCTTTATTTGACTTAGCATTCTTGCCAAATTCCTTAAACAAATTTTAACAAATTTAATTAATTTAAATGTAGTATTTTTAAAATCTCATCATAATTAATAGTGAATAACCTTTTTTAGCAAAATTGAAAAAAAATTTAAATATAAACCCTAAAATCGGATTTTAGGTTTCTTACCTAAACTGCAAACTCCCTTTTTCGTTTCTACCTTGCTCTATTTCTGTGCACGGAGCACAGAAGGCTCGGTCGAGCTTCTTACACATGCGTTCACAGAAGAGGCACTTGGTACTCCCGGATACTCTTCTTCTTCTTCTTCTTCATGTTAAGTTTCCTGCTCTCTCACAATATTGCTTGCAGTGCCTCGGTTTTACCTTCCTCGTATAGGAAATGATAGTGTTTCCTACACGTTGGAATTGTCTCTGTGAGCCACTCGAGCTTCTTTCGAGTGTGGGAAAACTCCGCTCGCTTGTGAGGCTGCGGAACTGTCACAAGCTATTCTTCCTTTGCTTGCGGTTCACTTGCTAGCCAATTATTTGTTGCTTGTGATCATTCGTCCAAGCCATTTATTATACCCAGGTGAAGGAATTGCCTTGCTATTGCGTCTCCTTCCTCTCTTTGCAGTCTCTTGCGGTCTCTCTCTCTCTATCTCTCTCTCTTTGTTGTTGTCTCTCACTCACACTACTTCTCTGTTCGTGCTGGATAAGAAAGATGAGGGATGAGAGCCCTCGGTTTTGTCTCTTCAGGGCGTTAGGAGAAGGGCTTAAATTGCAATGGTAATTTGATTCATCATTCATTTTAATTTTTTATAATAATTAACTTAATAAAAACATTTTATTATCATAAAGAAGGATAATATTATGGAAAAGTGTGGACAAGCATATTATGATGCATGGCTATTGTTATAAGTATTTTTAAATTTAATTTTGTGTGCTTACATTTTACCAAAAAGAAAATTTGCATGCATGCATCAATGCACTTGCGTTTATTATTGTAACTTTTATTTTGGATTGAATATGTAATTATATCAGGGAATCATGTATGAGTAGTTTGCCCATATATATTATACAAATAAATGCATGTATGAGTGGTTTTTAGCTATTTAAATTTTATTGAATTTGAGTTTTTTCTTGTCTTTCCATTCGCAAATATATTTAATTCCTAATATCCGCTAGCCATTATCTCACTTATTTTAAGGATTGTTTTAGTCTTTTCAGGAGCGAAACCAACCTCTTTTTAGAGGGAGGCAAACCGTCTCACTAGACCCGACTTGGGAGGGGCTAGAACAACTAATGACAAAATAAGATTTGAGGGGAAAACTGATATTTCAGGTAGGACACAATGCCAAATTGCCCTCATATATAAGTAAAAAATTTGAATTTGTGAGGGGTCAAGGACCTAGGTCCACCCCCGAATCTTTTTGTATTATACATTTCTATTGACCTTATATAGTATTCATGTTTCATTAGCTAAGACTATGAAACTGCACATAACATGCTTTTTAATTTGTTTATTGTTACAACCCAATGAGTGTTAGGATCATACTTTATAGCATACATGACAAAATGGTCATACTTTTCAATCATGCCCAATTTGAATAATTTGCCTAGTCAGTTGGAACTTGGAACAAGTTAGCCAGGTTTGAGTTTGGAATTGCTCGCGCCAACCTGAGCTCCATTCAACTTTTACAACTAGAGCGTAGTGTGCTTAGATGCCATTGAGTCACCAACAATCTTAGCGGGCATGAAGTTTCAATTTCATGAGGTACTTGATTGCTCGTGCTAGTCGATTGACTAACATGTTAGGCGGTTGATGCCAATTGTGCATCTAGCTCTAGTCGATCAACATACAAATGCTAAGTGGCCAGTTGGGATCACTTAATATTTTTGTTTCTTTAATTTTGTTTTAAGTTTATTTTTTTCGGGGTAAGAAAAAAGCACATTTATGATTCCTGTTAATTTATTTTCAAGAAATTTATTTTTAGTTAAATGCTATTTATTGTCCATCAATGAGAGTGGGCGGTCTCATTCACTCTTTTGAGATGTGAATGGCCAGAGAAAAAGACCAACAAAGATCATGGAGATGTTTCCAACAAACTGGAGCTGATATCCATACCACATCCTCAATCGCCTATTCTCCTCTTCCATCCGCTTTTCCCTTTCTCACATGACTATAGGATCCTCCTCCCCAGCTTCTCATTCACTTCTTTCTTCTTATATTATACTCTCTTGATCCATGATTCACGACCCATTCTTTGTATCCCTCATGCCTTTATTGCTAGATCCATGACTGACTGCTTTTCCTCGCTTGAATATTGGTGTCATAGACATTGCCTCTCCTCTCATGCACCGAGTTCTACATTCCTCTTTCCTAGAACCCCACTTCTTCCTCACCTTCCAAGGAGCTTTTGCCATTGATGTTCATAATGGAGAGCCATGGGAAGTAGAGTCTTTATTTGAGTTTGAAAAAAATGATGTTTTGGATGTTATTTTGAAAATTATGTAATATTTTTTAAAAAAAAACTAAAGAAAAATATGTATTATACTTTTCAAACATGTTTTATCTAGGTTTTAAAGATAAAATAAACAAAATAAAAAATGAAGCCAAACAAGCTCTATGGAAAGAAGCTAGGCATTTTAAGAGATGAGAAATTTATATAAAGCAATAAGGGAAAGCACAATTAATTTCATAGATATGATTGGGAGGTCACTAGTGTTCTACAATAAAAACATTATATAATAATCATCAATATTGTCCTTTGGCCAGTGAGAATTAATAAAAAATATAAATGCTAAGAATTGACCGATTGGGCTTGAAAAGTTTCTCCACTCGCCCTTCCTAGTTTAACCCTTTACAAGGATGTAAAAAAAACTAAGAAATTAGATATAAACTCAATGGAAATAAGAAATCGTTCAAGAACCAAATAAAGATGTAAAACAAAAGGCCAATCAATGAAAAATATGTTAGGATTATTTAGAAATTTATGTAACTTATCAACAATTGCATTTACCAACACCCCAAACTATTATACCTTTCAAAAAAAAAAAAAAAGAAACTATTATGGTAACATCTGTTCAAGATGGTTAACCTCAAGCATTTTTTGACCTACACCAAAGCTTTGTCGACTAACATTATGGCTTGTTAGGCGATGTTAATGCTTTAGTGTTTGATTTGTTTCTTCACTTACCCTTCCAAATTAGTCTGTAGGCTTTCCAAATGGGTCGTGTTAAATCTAATCGGCTGGATAAATATGTCTGAATGGCTGGCCAAATTATGTTAAAGGAAGAAAAATTTTATGGGTTGAAATATTTGATTGTTTTATATATACTGGTGTGGGTTAAAACCGAGCAGTTGTTTTTGCAATTCATTTTGCTTCAAAACTTTATTTTACTTTCACTATTTGCTGGTGTTTCGATTGGAATAAGTTGTTTTATAAATTGAATTTATTGTAATGATTGCAGTAGTTTATATTGCTAGTTGGCATCAACAATACACATTATTGACTAACTACTTGTGATGGTGGATGAGTCTGATTAATACATAAAGAGAAAAGTGTCAAAATCATCCTTTGATTCTTTTTAAGAGTATATTTCCAGGGTCTATAAATATACTAATTTAGTCCCATACACTTTTAATGGTGGCTAAAATCCATGAGGACTATTTTAACGTATATTAAAAGAGTGTAGAGACTAATTTGATATTGTTATAGCCTCTGGGAATAAAATAAACCCCATGTAAATAGTCAGAGACTATTTTGACATTTTACTATCAACTGCTTCTCTTCTTTGAAGATTTTTCCTTGTGCCTATTATTTATGTTTACATATCTTACTTCTTATGCAGGCTCTTCTAGGATTTGTGAATTTTAGACTTTATCATTCAATAAATGTTAAATATCCTCCAATTCTTGATCCCCAACTTGAAGCTTTGGCAGCTGGTACCGATTCCTTCCCTTTGTTTGATTGTATACAGAAAGTTTTATCCTTTGTGCGTGCTTCGTATTAGAAAGACTCCTGTCTACAGTTTTCATTGATTTTGAGTGATGATTTAAGTCCACCTTCTTGAAATTAGTTGATACTAATGGTATTATATTTGTAGAACTTTATGCCTTGTACCGCTATATTGGTACTGGTTCGAGAACATTATCTGGGACTTCTGAAGCCGGCATATCATCCCATTCAGAACAAGCTGATAATGAGAAAATGAATATAATAACTGAGGCTTCTGATGTTAGATTAGCTCAACTTCAGTATCAATTACCAACTAATGAACGCGGAGCTTTGATGAATATGATGGAGGATGTAAATGGTGTTGAAGAGGAGGACCAGGATACAAAGGTGTGCAAGTCCCTTTTCAAAGATTTTAAGTTCTTCTTAAGCCGAGAGGTTAGTTTATTTCTATCATCTCTGCTCTACAACTGATGTTAATTATTTATGCTCTATGCTTTTGTAATAATTCTTCAGAATTGTATTTTTTTATTCTTGTGTAAAGAAAAGAAGTTTCCTTTTATGTAAGTGAAAAATATTTGATTATTTGCTATTCTTGATTTTTTTAGGTTCCTAGAGAGTCATTGCTTTTCATAATTCCCGCGTTTGGAGGTTTGGTTTCATGGGAAGGTGATGGCGCTCCTTTCAGTGAAACATATGAGGACATCACCCATCAGGTTTGTTTGTTTTTTTTGGTTTTATTTATTTATTTTGTTGCCTCATATGTTAGGTTTATGCTACAAAATGTTTGAGGGGTGGTGCTCTATTTCAGCTCATAAATACAATAAATTATCCTTTTAGGTTGAAGTACCCATGGATACTCGTGAAAATGAATTTAGAGAAAAAGTTTTCTTTTTCTATTTTAACATGATGTTTATTTTTGTCTTCTACACCACACTTTTATTTAGTTTTTTTTTATCTCTCAGATTGTTGATAGACCGTCTATTGGTCGTAAGTTTCTTTCTAGAGAGTATGTTCAACCACAATGGATCTATGATTGCATAAATGCTCGAATAATACTACCTACAGAGCAATATCTATTGGGAAGGTATGTTATCATAATTCTTCTGAAATTATTTCTTGTTCTTCTAGTTGTGGTTCACGTTAGTGTTGTTAGTGCTTTTGAAATATGTGGAGATGAATATTTGATGAATTTTCATTAGTATTTTAATTAATTCTATCAATCTAATAGTTATATATACTAGGGATAATTACATACATAGCACCCGAAGCCTTGCTATTTACAAAATTTATCACCCAGGTGATATTTTTGAATTATCACATCGATGTATTTACACATGCCATGATGAAACCATTGAGAATTTGATAAAAATGAAAAATATGGGTTGGGGTTTTATCATGTGATTTGATATTTGAGTGAGAATTTGAAAAATGGATGAAAGAGTGCTATGTATGTAAGCTACCCTAAATACTAATGTTAGAATTCATTCCACTATATTCACAAACAACATCTTGACATTTTTTTTCCTTTAAAATTACTTGTCGAGTCAATGTAAAATAATTCATGTTTATAATTTTGCTTACATGTTTATCAAATATATACACTAATGCTAAGTAGTGTTGTTTAAAATTCGTCTGATTGATTTAAATTATATATCTTGGATCATTTTATATATGGAAGTAAATATTTTGTTTAAAATGGAAAATATTTTTTGTAAGTTTGTATGTATTATTGTTATATTTGAATGTGAATTTTTTAATATATAAAAATATGTTTATTTATCATATTGTTTTTTATATTTGAAATTATAGTATTTAATACATTATGTTTATTTACATCTAAGAATTGCATATTATATATTCTGATGTTATTTTAGTTTGTAAAAATGTAAATTTGAAATTGAGAAGTTTTATGCTATTATATTTATTCTTAACCTACTGTTTTTATTAGATATAATATTACATATTTATATTAGTATCAATAGATATAGTTTTTTGCAAAATTGAAACAATTGTGGATGACTAATCTTAATGGGAATAAATTAATTCATTGGGTCATCTCAAGTATTGAGAAGACGATTGTGAACTTAATAGACATTTGGCCCATTTCCTATTATTAATTGTTGGGGCAACCATTTTAAGAGCCAACAACATGACCATAATGTGTGAAGCCTATCTTTCCCATAATTTTTACCCATTATAAGATTTATACACCTTTAAGATTTGAAATTAAGTAAATGGGTGTTGAGAACCTTTTTTTTTTCATGAGACGAGATGTAAGATTTAAGTTATTTTGAGGCGTATGCCTACAAATAAAATTCATTAGATAAATAAACGAAGAATAAGTATTTAAAAATGATACTTTAAAATTATAATCTAACATTATAAAAAGTTTTTGAAGTACTCAATAATAAGAAGTCTAAGATTAATATTAAACATAAAGAACAACTAAGGTTGTCTCGAAGTACTTTTTATGATTTTCAAATTGAAAAATCACTCCACTCGCATCATTTTAGCAGGTCTTCATTAGAATCATCTTTGTAGTTGATTTTCTTGCATTTATTTTACATAAACTTTTATACTAATATTTTCTATTACTCTGTTGTCAACTTTTGCTTTTATTTCTTTGTCAAATAATTCAACTTTTAGATCATCCTTATGTAATTGTGATGTGGGACTTCAATTTCATGCTCTACAAATCATTGGTCATCCTGTGATGCATTATTAATGACCAATGAATCTTTATCAAAATTTTCTTTCTCAAATGTCTATCTTTTAATCTCTTTATGTACATCAAGTAAGCCAAGTAGTTTTTGTTTATAGTCAATTGATTTTGCCTTGATATGAAATTGGCCGTTTAATTCAACTCACAACCAAATGGCGAGCATGTAAGACCCAACACTTTAATTGCAAATCACGGGCTTTCTCTTAAAAAAATGCCTCAAGCCACATAACTTGTAGCATAATTTTAAGCATTATATCCCAACACTTTTTCCTTCCTTTCAAATTTCAGCATGCTATGCAATGTACATGGCATGATTTGTTAGAGATATCAATGTTCGTCTTTCCATAAAAAAGTAGCAAATAAATTTTATTCCGTTCACATTTATTTTAATATTCAAAATTAGAATATCTCTAAATTAATAAGAGATTTATGGGCTTGAATGGGTTAGCTAGAAGGTTGAAACATATGGTGATATAATTGAAGCAAGAAGGGTTAGGGATAAGGGATAGACATTTGAATACGAAATATTTAGAGAAATAGTGTCATGGTAGGAATTTTTAATGGCGAGCACTTGTCAGAAAAAGAAGGCCCATAGGATTATTCGTCAAGCATCTGCTATAGGTCAAAATAACAATCTTTAATGGTGAGCACTCATCAGACAAAGAAGGCCCATAGCATTATTTTCCAAGCATTTGAAATATATCAAAATGATGTCCATGACTATCATCCCTTTAGTGGTATCTGCTGAATTTTAAAATTGAGGGAGAAAACTATTTCTCTTCATGCTTTACTGAAATGCGAGAAGATTTGGAATTAAGATGGGACAACTAGCACCCCACTGATCTAGTTTTCTTATTTTATTTGTTTATTGGAATGGTAACATACAATTACTGCTAATCAAATGCTTGCTGCTTGATCCTATTTATTCTGAAATGCGTTTATTTTAAAATATGAAGATTGCAATACATAATTTCCTAGGTAGTGAAACTAAATCAAGAGCTTACTTAAGTGGAGGAAACTTTGTTTTTTTGAATGTTGCACATGATGATGCTTAATAACTATCCTTATTTTCAGTTTAAAAACTCATAGGATTGCACCAAAAATTTTTGGTTCTATCTTCAAGCTTTTCTTTAATGAAGTTTTTGTCATTTTCTTCAATTTTATTGGGTTTGTTGCAATATAGCAAATAATTTTATTGCCATCAAACAATTTTATGGATTCTTTTGTTTGGATTCTCAACCTTTGAGTAATCGCATCAGCCTTCTCAAACATCATGAGAATTGGTTTTGAAATTTGCTTCTACATTGCTTCTTGCCACAAGTAAATGATTTTTGCTTCTCCAAGTTAGCAAATTTCCCCACAAAGGTAGGATACCCTGCTCATTATCTTTCGGTGCAGCCTATCCAAGCAACACCATAAAGTTAGTTGTTTATTATTGATGTTTTCTTGAAGTACAGTCATTTTCTTATGATTCTTTGATGTACTTTGTAGGATTTTTTGCACAAAACTTAAGTTTTTTTAGGTTGGATTGTCATAAACCTATTCACCATACTAATGAAAAAACCAATGGTTGACCACATGTGTGATAGAGATATGAATTTGCCAATAGGACTTTGATTTTTTCTCTTATCAATATGTTTGTTTCTCTATTATGTACCTTCTTTATTTGTTGAATCCATTGGAGTGATTTGGTTTTCATTCGAGCATTCTTGTTTTATTTCAATTAATCCAGGGCATAATAGATATTCCTTGATCAAACTACTTGATAAGAAAGTATTTTAGATCTTTGAATTTTTTAATTAGGATACTATTGCAAGTAAATTCTTTATTCTTCGTCGTCCTGTAGTAAAGAATGATATCATTCACTTAAAGATTGAGAAACTCTAATTTTCCTTTTGTATAAAATTTGACATAGTATGGTCGATTTGATATTGAGAGAACTCCTTATTTACAACTTCTGCAAGTTCATGCTTGAGGATATTGCTTGTTGGTGTATATATATATGTATTTTTTGTTTGCACACTGTTGATATATATATATTTTTTATTTTGAAATCAAGAGAGATGCCCATATAAGCTTATTCTAAATCACCTTTGAGAAATGCTTTCTTGATATCGAGATGAAGAAATAGCCCGTATAAATTTACAACTAAAGATAACAAGGCCAAAATATAATTGAATTTAGTGGCCAGAGCAAATATTTCTTGATAATCAACTCTAAAATAAAGTATAAACTATTGCAACTAGATATGCCTTAATTCTACTTACCTTTCTCTACAAACTTGGCATTGACCAAGAAAATATACATACAACAATCAAAATATCACTTTTGGGTAAATTCATGATTCCCCGAACTTTATTTCTTTCATAGGTGTAATGTCTTCTAAAATTGAATACTTCATCAGTGTTGCTAGGAGTTAGCATGTCTATTAGGCTTGGTGGCAAAAACTGAAAAAATTTGATGATAGAATTTTACAAGAAACAAATTATGTAATAGGTTTTTAGTTGTTTTTGGTGTTAATGAGGCATCTTTATTTTCTTCCAAAGATTGATTTCCCCAAGCTATATGATTCTTCTCATTAGTAGACGATTTGGGATGGTAGGGTTTATTTTCATTGATCATTACACCTATGGAGATGTAGAATTTTAATAATTGGATAATGCCTATGGAATATGCATTTGGGTGATTTGGGGTTTAACTTTGTTATATTGTTGATTTATCTAGGAAAAGGTAGCACACTCTAATATATTAACAGTGGTGAAACTAATCCAAAAGTTGTGATTTGAGGTAAGGTAATTTTGACATGATATAATTCAATTTTAAGATATGAGAAGGCATAATATTGGTAAGGTAAGTCACAATGGGTACGCCTTCTCCCTAGATTTGCTTTGGGACAAAAGTGGACAATACAAGTGATCTAGCAACTTCCATCATATGTTTAATCTTTTTTTTTTTTAGCAATTGCATTTATCATCCCTAGGTTCAAGAAATAAGCTTCTAGAATCGAATATTCTTTACCATTGCCAGTTTAAGAGCTTAAAATTTGGCATAAAATTGGGTTTAGATAATGTTTTTGAAATTTTGAAAGAATTGGGTTTTCTTCGTTATCTTTCTAAAGGAACAACTATGTAACTTTGGCGCGATCACCAATAAAGGCGTAAAAGCTAGAATTAATAATATTATTGATTCTTGAGGGACCCCAAATCATTTTTTGAGCTTTACTTGCAAGACTGGAGTACTTCTAACTTGTTTGAATATTTGATTGGTTTTATATTTTGAAGTGTTGGGATTACTATTAAGCGATGATAGAAGAAGTTTTATATTGGATTGGTTATATATTTTAAAGTGTTGGGATTACTATT